AGATCTTTTTTCCATTTTTATTTTTTTTGTCTCTGCTCCACAACCGGTTGCAAAATGCCTGGAGTTTGGCCCAAGCAGTGAAGGTGGCTTTGCAATCCGCTGCCTGGCGTCCGCCCAGCCCCCCCCCCGCCCCCGGCCGGGGGGGGGCCCCCCCCAGCCGATGCCTGTGCCTGGGGAAGCAGCCGTGGCCCACTGCACTTTTCCATCCCCATCCTTTTCCACTGATGACTACGGGAACGGGGAGGATCTTCCAAGTGGACTATTTAAAGCTCAGTTTCTGGCTGAGAGGGGGAGGCAGCCCCTGCCCGTGGCCTGGCCGCTCCCTGCCCGCGGCAGCTCCCAACTTTGCTGCAGAAGTACCCGGTGTGGGGATGCTGGAGGAGGGACCAGGGCTGTAAACTTGTTCCACTCCCCTCCCCAGTCGGAGTTATTTTATAATTCCAACATGCCTCAGTTCATACAGTAGGTCTGATCTCATGTGCCGCTGCTAGGGGAAAGGAAAAATAAATTTCTAGTAAAGCCTTTTGGGAAGGTTTGCTGGAAGAATGTGTCAGGGGCTGGATCAGGTTTTGAGGGGGAAGAGAAATCGGTGTTTTTGCATCTCCCCAGCTTCCTCATTTCATTGCTACAGAAAATCATCTGAGCTGCTTCCTTGGAAAAGTCTGCCCGCAAAACAGCCGCTTCCCCCAGGAGCGTGGGCAGGTCCAGGGAAGGGCAAGGTCATGCTTGCCCTCGTGCCTCTAAAATGGTGTAAAGGCCCCAGATTCTGTGCCTGGCACTTGGTGCAGGATGGAGCTCGGTGCTGCCTGTGTTGGTCCTTGCAGAAGGATGGGGCACCCTGTGATGTGCCACCCTTGTGGGCACCCAAACATTGCAGCCCGCCCCACGGCTGTGAGGGGATATCGGATGCTCAATACGGGGAAGAATTCAAGTAAAAATGCCAATATTGCCATTGCAGAGGAGCATTGAGCCACGATGCTGCAGGACCCCCCCCCAGCTCCCAGGTGATATTGGAGGAGGCAAAGGGGGTTACGGGGTGGCTCATGCCCCAGGGTGTCTCTATGTGCCTCTCCTCTCTCTCCCCTACCAGGGAGCTGGGAGAGAGAAGATGTTTTCGGTGATGTAAGTGCTTTGGTATTGAGCAACGATGCCAGTCCCTGTGCAAATGCACCCAGTCACTGAGCCTCCCGCAGCCCAGCATCGTGGCAGCGCTGAGGGACGACAGCAGCCCCCGCTCCCTTGCTGGGGTAGAGGAACCAGGGCTATTTTAGAGCCCGACATGCCCAGCTAGTCCAGCACACTTCCCCCACCTGAATTTCAGTATGACGCTGGTGTCATGCCACTTCCTATAATAATCTGAATTAGGGAAGTGGCTGCTTCCCTGCAGTTGTCATTCAGGTGTCCCGTCTAGGGGGGAGGGAGAGTTTGGGTCTCGACATTCCTTATGAAGGATGTCCCCGTGACATTGGTCCATGAGGACCAGTGCGCTCCTGGGCGCTGACCCGCGGCGGTCTCCACGATACCCCTCTCTTAGGACTGATTCCCATAGAGGAGCTGGGACGCTTGTCACACACGGCCACGATGGTGCTCTTTGTCCCAGCTGCCACGCTCACCTTTGCTTGGAAACGGACTTTTTCAGCTCGAGTTTTCACTGTGCATGTGAGATTTTAATCTTCATCGTGTCCCTTCCTGAACCATGTCCCACGTCACTGCAGTGACTTAGCCCTGTGACAAATTACGATTTTCTCCACCCACCGAGGGGCAGTGGAAAGCGGAGTGGACACACATGCTTACATCTTCCTCTTGCCACCACGAGCTGTGGTGGATGCCGGGCGCAGAGAGTCCCTCTCTCTGCACTGTGGGTCGATGGACATGTTTTGGTGCCTGCCGCTCGCCCTTCTCCTCCTCCTCCACCAAGCAAGTAAGTGCAAGTTGCTCCTTTTCCCTCGGTGGTGGAAGGAAAGGAGCCCGCGGGGGCTCGGGATGATTTTAGGGACTCCCGGGAGAGCGGGGATGGGGTTGGCGTGTGCAGGACCAGCAGTGCCGAGTGCGGCTCCGCAGGGATGGAGTTTGTCCCAGTGATGTTGGGCAAAGCGGGGTGAAAGATACCCGGTGCTGGCCCCTCGCTCTCGTGTGGTCGCTCTCGGCTAATGAGCGAACTCATCGCCCCTCAGCTCCGGCTCGGTCTCTATCCAACTGCTGCCAGATGTGCACGGGCTGCCGCGCTTGCTGTTCTGCTCCGTGTTCAGGGTCTGTGCCCCTGTGCGTTGTCTCTGAGTTATTTCCTGTGCTCCCGTGGCTTCGTTGTGGGGTGTTTAGGGCTGTTTGGAACAGGAGATACTTTCTGCCTCTTTTCAGGCAAGGGGAAACGGGCAGAGATGCCGGCTTTGCTCCCCCCCCCAGCCTGGAGGCAGGTTTCACCACCGATGAGCACTGCAGTATTCTGCTATTTCAGCAGAATTTCCTTCTTCAAGTTTACGCTCCCCATCAGCTTCTCCTTCCCTGCAGTTGGAGCTGCCTGTTCCCAGTGTCCCAGAGGTGTCCCTGCCAGGTCAGGCAGGCGTGACCAGAAACGCAGAGCCCCGGGGCGAGGTGACAGCCTCGGGATCTGGCTGCCCGGCTGAGCCAGGAGCAGGTCCCGTTTTGGGAACTGGGGAGAAAACCTCCAGCCCAGACTGGGTAGCACTGATTTTTGTTTTTAAAGAGGAAGTAAGCAAAATAAGAGGGAAACACCTCTCTCCTTCTCAGAAGAGGATAGAAGCAGCTGCACATTTAGGGAAGAGGCCACCCATTTTCTTGCCTGCTTGTGTAGGTGAGCTTGGCCTTTCAGTCTGGTGATGAAAGGGAACCGGCCTGACCTTTCTGAGCCTTCGCAAACTCCTCCTTGCACTTTCATTTTACACCTCCAGGCTCTGTCCCTTGCACCCCCTTTGCATGTGGGAAGCAGCGTGGGTGTCCCATTGCTGCAGGGTGCTGCTTGCTTCACGAGCCCTGGGGGGGTGCGAAACAACAGGTCTTCCTGAGGCTCAGCTCAGAGCCTCAGGGGCAATTCATTTATTTAAAATAAAAAGGAATCCTCTCATTCCTGCAATCACCTGCGATGGAGTGGTTCCTCAGTGCTCTCTCCATCCAGTGTCGGTGATACGGTGCGCATCCTTGTCCCCAGGGATGCCCCAGAGGGTTTGGGTGAGCCGGTGATGTGTGCTTGGAGCCCAGAAACCCAATCGTCTCCTGGGCTGCATAAAGAAATCGAGGGAGGGGATTCTGCCCCTCTGCCCCGCTCTGGGGAGACCCCCCCGGAGCCCTGCGTCCAGCTTGGGGTTCCTCAGCGCGGGAAGGACATGGAGCTGCGGGAGTGGGGCCAGGGGAGGCCACCGAAATGGGCAGAGGGTGGCCCAGCTCTGCTGTGGGGACAGGCTGAGAGCTGGGGGTGCTCAGCCTGGAGAGGAGAAGGCTGTGGGGAGACCTCACTGCAGCCTTGCCGTGCTTGTAAGAAAGATGGGGACAGACCTTTTAGCAGGGCCTGTAGCGACAGGAGAAGGGGGAATGGTTTTAAACTAAGAGAGGAGAGATTCGGACTGGATATAAGGAAGAAATTTGTTACGCTGAGGGTGGCAAGACGCTGGCACAGGTTGCTCAGAGAGGCGGTGGGTGCCCCATCCCTGGAGATGTTCAAGGCCAGGTTGGACGGGGCTCCGAGAAACCTGATCTGGGTGACGATGTCCTGCTCGTGGCAGGGGGTTGGACTGGATGGCCGTTAAAGGTCCCTTCCAACCCAAACCAGTCCATGATTCTATGACTTTACCCGCAACTGTACGGTGTGCGATAGCACTGGGGGCTCTGGCCCCTATAGATCAGCCTGTCCGTGGCATCACACTGTGCGATCGCAGTGGGATGAGGCTGCTCTTCTCGTCTGAGGCTCTTCTTTTGGCCAAGGACCTTTCCCCGAGCCCTCCTGCCATCTCCACCAGCCAGCCTCCGGGCTTGCTGTGCGTCCTCTCCCTGGGCATGCCGCCTTCAGCTCGGCTTCTCTCTCCAGCATGCACTAACGACAGGGCAGAGGTGACCAGCGCCACGGGCAGGTCTGTCACCTTCTTCCTCAAGAACCTGGATGGAGAAGCTGCAGCCTGGAGCTTTCACGACGATGTCATAGTGACTGTGAAATTCGGCAATCCTCCTGAAGCCATTTTTTTGGATCAAAAGTACAAGCCACGCTTGGCCTTCCCCAGGAACGGCAGTGCGCTCACCATCTCCCAGCTGACGACAGATGATGCTGGTACCTACACAGCAAAGACCTTGGGGATAAAAACCACCTTCACCCTACACGTATACAGTAAGTGCCTTTTAGCGTTGATGTTTGTTTGTTTGTTTGCTTTTTAAGGCTTTGTGCTAAATGGGAGGTTGGGGATTTCCTGACAGCCACCCACTTCCCACAGGGGAACTGGCGGTGCCGACGGTGACCTGTACGATGCAGAACTGCTCGGCCGACGGCTGCCTCTACACCCTGCGCTGTGCCACGTCGGGCTCCGGCTATGGCAACGTCTCCTACAGCTGGAGCATGGGGGACTTGCCAGGGAGAGAGGGGCCCACGGTGGTGGTGGAAGAGTCACTGCCGGGCGAGCCGCCGCTGCTGCTCACGTGCGTGGCACAAAACCCTGTCAGCAGCCGCAACACCAGCGTCGTCTTGCCCGCTGCCCTCTGTGCAGGTAACAGCCAAGGAAAGACGTGTGGGTGGATGGCAGGGATGGGCCGTATCCTTCTCCCAGTGGCTCCAGCTTTCCCCCGAGCTGTGCCTTGGCGCACAAAGAGAGAAATGCAGACCCTCGGCAGAGGGACTTACCTCTCTCCCTGTTCTCTCCCTTTGCCACGCCGCCCATGCTGTCAGAAAACACAACCCACCTTTCCACTGCCGGTGAGCTGCCGAACCTCCCATCCGTGTCTGGCCTCGCTTTTAAATGTCTGAGTGTGCCCAAGCTAGCTAACAGCGTCCGGCCGCCACAGACCCCCGTGCCTGAGGAGGGGGAGATGGGGAGCCTGAGGCCAGCGCAGTCCATCTCCTCCCAAAACAGCTCGTAGGGGATATCCAGGCTTTCTGGGCAGCGCTCTTAGCATCTGTGTGCTGTCTTCATCACCTGGGGAATTTGGGGAGGGGAGGTGGGTCCGCATTTCTAGCTTGTCCCCCCAAAAAGCTTAGCTTGGGATGGGAACATCAAATCACTTTGTGCAACAGGGAGGCAGAGCCAAGGATGGGCTGGAGGTGGCTGCCACCAGCCCATGTGGGGTTTTCCCCCCACCAAAAGCCACCCGTGAGGTCCCCAGAGTGCAGAGGGATATCAGCAGGGGCAGCCACGGCCGCGTTGGGGCTGGGGCAGGAGTCTCCCAGCCGCTGCTCTGTCTGCAAAGCCACTTGTCCTCGTGCAGCGTGTCGCCTCCTTTCCGTGTTGGACCACGTTACCGTGAAATAAGGGTCTCAGTGGGGTGTTGAAGCAGAGACGTGGCCGTTTCCTCCCACTCTGATGCTGGGAAGAGGCAGATACATTTGGGGATGTTGTCACCAGATCTTCTTCTCTTTCAAGGCACCTACTCCAGCAGGTGGGCTGGAATTGTGGTTGCGTCGATGCTTGGAGCCGGAGTGTTTTTAGCAGTGCTTATCTTCATGACCTGCTATAAATCCAAAGGTGAGCTCCTTCCCCTGTGGGTAACCGTCCCTGCAGACCTGGCAAGCAGGAGATGAGCCCTGCAAAAGCGAGGATGCTGTGTGGGGTTCGCTTTGGTTGCTGCTGCTGACGAGAGCTCCATGTTGCTTCTCCCCCAGGCTGGAGGATCTTCTCTTTGCCCGCAGCTGAGGTCAGGAACGTAGGTAGGTCTTGGCATTTCCCTCCCTCACTCTTTTTCTTGGTGGGAATAGCTTGGTGGTAATTAAGATCGGGAGGGAAATCATCCACTGCCTTGACTTGGTACTGGACTGCACCCCAGCTGGCAGGACCCTGACGCCTCCCCGCGCCCCTGCCCTGCATGCACAGAGGCAAATGAAAGGGGGTGATCCCAGGCGATGCTGTGGTGGCTGAAGCCGTGCTCTCCCCCAGTCTCTTCCTGCAAAACTTCGTGCCAGCCCACCGAGAAGGAGCTGGGAGCACAACCATGAGATCACCAAAGCAAGAGGGATTTTGAGGAAAAGATAAGAGCTGACAACAGACAACCGGGAGGCAGAGACAAGCAACGAGGGGTCGTGTGCTCCATCGCCAGAAACACCCCCCGCAGCACCGCGTGCGGCTCACAACCGGCG